CCGAACTGCCACCCCTTTTTTCTAATGAAAACAATATCAGGTTAATACTATGATAAGTTCTTATGAACTACCTCAAATTTTTTATATAATGACTATGGCCAAAGATAAATGGCCTTATTTATATAAAATACTAAGACAAACTGACAATAGAAACACGTTATCCACTAACCATTTGCTACACACTTACCTATTTTACTATAACTATTTGACTAACATTTACAATAAATTCTGGAAATATCTGACGCATTCCAGATGAGGTAAGTGGTAGCATTTTTTTGAACGCGATGAGTTTCAAAACCACGGAACTATATATATACATGGGTTCGCATATACTAAAAAAAGATTTCTGAATTAATATTCTTGAATACGATTCACGCTAACCTCTCTGATCCAATCTCTGAACCTGAATTACACGCGCTAGTATTATCATTTCAAATCCACCGTTGTGATCATAGGTGTAGTGGACAAACTTCTAATGGAAATCTGTATTCTAAAGGATTTCCTTAACCTTTATCTGAAGAAACTTATTACTCACAACACTCTTTACGTTATGTCTATTGTTATATGAAAAATGAAGACAGAATAGTAGTTCCTTATTACTCCGAAACTTTGTTAATATAGCACAGCCATATTAATTTCCAGTATGTCACCTCTACTGGATTTACCAGATATATAACTAAATATGTTACTAAAGCTGAACCTTCAAAATTATTTGATATTGATGAAGCTAATGACTATAGAAAACATATTATAGCAAGACGGTTAGGAGCAATGGAATTAATGATACTTTTACTGCAATATCCCTTAACAAGATGTTCTGTTTCTGTACATTACCTTCCTTTTGCCCTCTCTAACTTGCATATAAGATCTGTTAAACCAATTCACCTCTTACACGATATAAATGATAATGGTAATAATAATCAAGAAAATGAATCACTGTATTGAGATAATACTATTGATAAATATTTTGATCGCTCTGACCATGACCGTTTTCAAGAAATAATCTATCCTGATTATTTTTAAAATTGCACTTTTAGATCTAAATTATCTGGCCCAAATTCAAAATTATTTTATATCCAAGACTGGAAAAATAGGATAGTATCACAAAGAAAAACACCTGTTCTTTTATGCTTTACTAACTATAAAATAGAGGACGTGAACCTTTTTTTTTTCAACATCTCATAATGAAACTTCTCATCAGATCAGAACACAAGTTATTAGGTAAATATACCTCTTATAAAGAATAATTTCAATTTATCTTTCCTGTTAGATTTGCTCTTGAAATCGATTCCATCAATCAAAGTCATCTTATACAAAAGAATAACTTATCAAATGCTTATAATTCGTTAATAAGGTCACTTATAAATGATTTTGAAAACCAAGAATTATCCACCTTGATTTTTAATCAATTCATTTCCTTAGAAAAACACACACCTCACCTTAATAATCATTCCTTTCCAGCTCTTGACTCCAAACAGTATGAAACTTATAATCTTTTATGTAATATATGGGAAAAACCGAACGACAGCAAATACACTTATTTCTTCTTAACCGGTTCTGCTGGAACTGGTAAAACTTTCATACTCCATCAATTAATTTTATATTTAACTTCTAAAAGAAGAAAATTCCTCTTAATAGCACCTACTGGAGTTGCAGCACAAACTATTGGTGGTAAAACGATTCATTCTGTCCTGAAAATCTGACTCCAAAATGATCGATATGAAACTTTAATTCACTCTGATTCAGAAACTATATCGAAATTAAAAAAAATCAAACTACTTGTATTAGATGAAATATCTATGGTAAACGCAGACCTATTCACTTTTATTAGTGATACTTTTGCAAGAATTCATAATAACAACATGCTCTTCGGAGATTTACCAATATGAGTAGTAGGTGATTTAGCCCAATTACCATCAGTGTGTCCGTTTCCTGTCTTTCGTTCAACTGCTTGGTTCAGATTTTTTCCCCTGTTTCTCACTACTCCCCAGAGACAACATCATGACATAGACTTTTATAATATATTACAGGAAATACATATTGGAAAATTATCTAATATTGGCAGATCCATTCTTATGTCAAAAATAAATCCCCATATTTCTTTTGACAAATTCTTTAACACTACTCATATAGTGCCTATCCGACAAGCTACAAATAACATCAATCAACTACTCTGTCGCTACCTTTCATTAGACCAAACCTCATGTGAACCCATCATATCAGAATGCAAAGACTCACTAAACTATGAAGTATTGCTTTACAATCACTCCATTTTTCAGTTTAAAAATATGATGAATTTACCTCAGTCTTTACATTTGCAAGAAGACACCTGAGTAATGTTTTTGAATAACAAATTATTTGATGACAGCATCTGCAATGGCACAATTGGAATAGTGACTAACCTTATAAATAACGATAACATTGAAGTAACTTTTCCTACTCATGAAGGAATAAGCAAAGTAATGGTTCAAAAAGAAACTTTTTACTTCTATATTAACGGTCAAACCACTTCGAGACAACAATTTCCACTTCAAAACGCGTTCACCCTTACTACTCACAAAGTACAAGGTTTAACCTTACCACATGTCACTACTAGTGTTGATGAATCCATTTTTGCCAAAGGTCAGGTATATGTTGCAATGAGTTGTGCAACCTTGTGGGACACTCTTCACCTCTTAAACTTTGACGAAAAATACTTCATATGTCCCAACGCAGCTCTAGAAGAATATAAAAGATTAATAATTATGCATAACAAAGGTTTACATAACTTATAATAACTCTAATGACATGAAACTCCTCATGAACCCAATTAACCACTACCCTTAACCACTCTCCTGACTAGCCTAAATTTCTTCGATATTTGTATAAATTTTCATGAAACAAGATCAAATCGAACATTATATTACTATATATATTAAGCAAAAAATAAACTAATTATAATAAAACGACAGGGTGAAACCCGCGCAGAAATAGTTACATTATTGATGCAAATCCTAACTAAATAGTAACTAACTCTAATTAAGTATATATCTGCATCAAGAAAGTTATCACCCCTGCGCAGATTTCACCCTTTCATATAATAAAATAACATACACATCAACTTCACGTGAATTACAAAATTACTGTGTACGACCCCTCGATTCTATATTTAAATATAACCGCCAATAGAATCACATCATCGACCAAACAAAAAACTCACTGGACTAACACCGCGGTCCCTCTTGTTCTTATTGACGTTGATTGAAAATTACTAAAAAAGGAAATAAATCAGCCCTATAAAAAAATTTTTATCCATTATTTCTCCGTAGCCTCCGTAAAAATTCCATGAAAATGATACATTTTCGGATATCCGTGTTAGGGAGATAAAATTTCCATGAGTTAGGGTTATAAATTCCATGAAAAGAAACATTTATGGAAAAAATATGGAATAATAAACATTGATCAACATATTTTTATAGGGCAGAGCATTGTCGCGTGAGCATTTACTTGCGTCAAATCCGCCCATATAAATTGCTTCATTTTAACTCCAAATAAGGAAATTTGAAAAACGGTTCGGTAAAGTTGGTCCCATTTTGGGATATCTTTAGTACTTATTGTCAAGGAAGGCCTGCTTTATGCATCGCTGATTCAGAAGTGGACGGTGATACCTGGTGCGCTGATAATCACTATTTCTGGGTGCGTATCCTATCCTCAGCTGATACATCAATTGCACCGATGTATACTACACATATTCTCAATAATCATTTAATAAAGTTCAATCTCCGGCAGTATTGGTCAAATGCATCCAATTTTAACTCATATCATGTGCGTGCGATGCTTTTCGTTCAAGTTGACGGAAAGTCAACAGATCCAAAAAATGGCTGAGCAGGGATATGCCGGTAGGAATCTTGCTAGGTCTTGCAGAGTAGATCACCGGCTTAGAAACCGATATGTACGTACGTATGTACGTACGTACCTAAATTAATTTGACCAAATTAAGCAATCGAATGAGCAGACTCCGCATGAAAGCGTATGCAGTTAGATATGTATGTATAATAAATCAAGCGGTCCAATTTTGGAATTCTTGAATTATTCCTAATGCTAATAATAAATTATTACTAATAATAGCACCATTGTTTATACGGAAATATAAAAACAGGGCTGCGGATAGATAACGATGACACCCGTCAAATCTTAGGCAAGATTCACACCCGAACCCTCCACCCCATGCAGAATCCTGCCATTTTGGGGTATCTTAAAACTTATAGTCAAGGCTGGCCTGTTTTATGCAGTGTGGGAAACTACCGGTTGATGCTACGCGTCACTGATTCCGCTATGGACAGTGATTCTGATACTTGCTATTTCTGGGAGCATATCCTGTTCTCAGCTTATTCATCAATAGTACCGATGTATTCTACACATATTCTCAATAATTATTTAATAAAGTTTAATCTTTGGCAGTATTGGCCAGTTGCATCAATATTAAATCATATCACGTGCTTGCTATGTATGCAGTATGTAGATCATATGTTGCGCTTCAAATCTAGTATATTCCCGGACTGTACTTTCGAAAATGTATCACGAAATATCAATATATCTAGTATATTCCCGGACTGTACTTCGAAAATATGTCCCGAAATACTAATATATCTAGTATATTCGCGGACTGTACTTTCGAAAATATATCCCGAAATATTAATATAAAGATTATATAACCACGAAAGATCAAAAACTTTCTGTGTGGAAGTTCCATGGATTTATATGATTTCCCGATATTTAGCTTCAGTCAACAATAAAATGAGTGCCAGCTGGATATTTTGCCAGATAACTTTGAAACATTTTAACAACATTTTTTTATTTGAATCACCTTTTAAATTGTAATAAAATTAACGCAAACATCGGTTATAAATTAAAAAGATTGATACAAATATTATTATTATTCATTGATCATGTATTCCCTTTGGAGATTAAGAGCAAAATATTTAATCGAAACTATTTTGTTCATACATATTTTTGTATGTATGACTTTTAAAACGAATGGTTTTACCCCTGAAGGCCGAGGAGGTCATGAGGCTGTCTTACTTAAAAATACAATATATTTTATCGGCGGATCCCGTGCAATACCAAATGCAAGTCCATTCAAAAGTTCTATACGAAGTTATAACTTGTCGAATGAAATTTTTTACTTGGATCTTGCATCACCATTCTCTACAACAAGTCCACCGTACGTAGATCTTAGTGGGACTTCTGCGAGATTGCAATATGGAAATGAAAAAGGTTAGCACTTTATTTTGATTTCTCAACTAATTCTGTAATTATAAAACTTTTTTTAATTGTACTTAAATTATTTAATGCATGCATTAGGAACTGCATTAGTTGGTGGACCTTCTAATGATGAAATACTGCTCGTGGGTGGTGTATATCAAAATCTTATCCTACTTGATCAGATAGATCATAATGCAACAATAACTTCAAGCCAGACATTAATGATAAATGAATTAACTAATACTTGGAATACAACAAATCAAACAATTTTTATTTACCGGCCAACTGCACGAACTTGGATGAACCCA